CTGTAGGATGAGCACTGGACCACAAGGTCAGTTTGAACTGCAACTTACCAGCTGCTCTTCAGAAACTTTTACAGGGTCACCATGAGTCGGAACTGACTAGATAGAACTAAACAACAATGACCACTTTGTGTTGTGTGCTTGCTGTTAAGGGTATTGCAACTCACAGCAACCCTGTATGACAGAACAGAACTGCCTCACAGGTTTCCTGGCCTGTAATTTTCACAGGGGTAGACCACCAGATTGTTTCTTCTATGGAGCGGCTGGTGGGTTTTGAATCACTAACCTTTTGGTTAGTAGCTGAATGCTTAACCATTTGTCAATAGGACACTTTGTTAGGTACCATCAAGTCGGTACCGACTCATACCAACTGTATGCACAGCAGAACAAAACACTGCCCGATCCTGGGCCAACCTCACTACTGTTGCCACACTTGAGTCCATTGATGCTGCCACTGGGCCAATCAATCTCATTGGGGGTCTTCCTCTTTTTATCTGACCCTCCACCTTACCAAACATGATTTCCTTCTCCAGTGACTGGTCCCTCCTGACAATATGTCTGAAGTATGAGAAACGAAGTTTGGCCATCCTGGCCTCCAAGGAGCACTCTGGCTGCACTTCTTCCAACACAGATCTGATGGTTCTTTTGGCAGCCCATGGCACTTTCAATATTGAGAGTTTCAACAAGTTTGTGGAAAAATGAATTAAAATATAATGGTATAGAAAGCTTGTAAGTCCATCTTCTGCCTATAACTCATTGGAATATCTAAATTGGGGCTATAACGTGCCCAGTGAAGGAGGCTTTCTGCAGAGCCTCTGCATTACATAAGACTATAGATGGAAGACTGAACCATATCCAGATCTTCAGAGATGGGAAATTTCCACCTGAAAGGACGCGCAGACCAGCCTGGAGCGGCTAGAAGAACAGAAGATTCTTCTTGAAAGAAAAACCTACAGGAAAAATATAAAACCATATAGGCAGACTGACTGATTACTATAAGAACAAGCAAGTTGCTTGCCCAGGAGACGTCAAGGCAAGTAGTCAGGTCCCCTCAGTGCAAACCCTCTTCTAAAACTAAGACTCAATGGGAATACATGCTCTGGTGACCATGCTCATCACCCATAAGGGGAAGTGAGGGAAAAACAGCAATGAAGCGGCGAGCTAAGCCCTACAATGTTCAATAGACTTCTGTGAACCTGGGTGGAGACCTGGTCGGCCAGCAGTGTGGCAAGACCTGGGGACTCTTGGGCCCAGAGTCAGTGACACAGCCACAGAGAACTAGAGTGGAGAATGACACATCCAGCTGATAAGAGAGGGGATATGTGCAAGAACACCCACACGCTCAGATGATATCCACTTGACCTGGCTTCAATGACTGGATAAACAGAGCTCAACCCTAAGAAGAAAGAGGAGGAAAAAAGCGTCATCTGATACAATTCGATAAACATGACCTACACCTATAAATGCAGTAGCTCAAAAGAGGAAACAAATCCCTGCTGCAAGAACTAGTCCCACCCCCTCCACACAAAGGGTAGACAGGGATGGGCAACTTGGACATTGGCTACCCAAAATGGGGGGAGGGATACAAAGGTAAGAAGTGACTGACTTACAAGCTTTCAAGAGGGAACCTAGATCCAAAGGGTGTGGAGGAAGGTAGAATCTCCAGTGAATAGTATGCAGCCTGTCCAGGAAGGGCTGATGAAACAAAATACAGATGGGTCTCTTATAATACAATGGTGAATGATTGTTATCAGGAGGTGAGGGTTGGAAATCTAAAGGAGGACATTTTGTAGCAAGGAGGGGAGTGATTAACTTTTCAGTCTAGGAGCCGAGGACCCTAGGACCATCAATGGAGAAAAGCGGAGAGTGGGATCCTACCCAGAGAAGCGGTGAGGCCTGAGATGGAAGCAGAGAAAACGTCAAGAGATGGTATGGCTGGGGACTTGGGATCTGGAGAGGGAAAGGGGCTGAGGACTGTGGTGGTGGTGGTGGTGGGGGTGGGTGCAGGCTTACAGGGTACACCCTTTGGTTGGGTGAGAAAGCATGGACAGGATGGTAACTATGCCAATGAAACGATAGATGAGAGAATGAATATAAAACTAATGTTCTCCCATGCAGACTATCACACAATTCACAATAAAACATTTATTTTAAAAAAACCAAAAACAAAACCCACTTGACCTGGCTTCAATGACTGGATGATCAGAGCTCAACTAGAAGAAAGAAGAGGAAAAAAAGCGTAATCTGATATAATTTGATGAAATTGACCTACACCTATGCATGCAGTAGCTCAAAAGAGGAAACAAATCCTTACAGCAAGGATCATTCCCATCCCCTCCACACACAGAGTAGACAGGGATGGGCAACTTGGACATTGGCTACCCAAAATGGGGAGGGGGGGGGCTATAAAGGCAAGAAGTGACTGGCTTACAAGCTTTCAAGAGGGAACCTAGATTCAGAGGGCGTGGAGGAAGGTAGAATCTCCAGTGAATAGTATCCAATATGTCTAGGTGGGGCTGATGGAATGAAATGCAGATAGGTCTCTTGTGATACAATAGTGAATAATTGTTATCAGGACTGATTGGGAGGGTTGGAAATGTAAAGGTAGATGTTTTATATAGGAAGGAGGGGAGTGATTAACTTTTCAGTCTAGGAGCGGAGGACCCTAGGACCATCAAGGGAGAAGAGTGGAGAGTGGGACCATACCCAGAGAAGCAGTGATGCCTGAGATGGACGCAGAGATGCGGGGGAAGGCTTGCAGGGTATACCATTTGGTAGGTTGATGATGCATAGAGGGGATTGTAACCATGGCAATGAAATGATATATGATAGAATGAATGTAAAACTAATGTTCTCCCATGTAAACTATCACATAATTCACA